TTTTTGAATATTTAATCCATATTCTGTACGAATAATATAAATAAACATTAGAAAGTTTATACTTTGTATGTAAAATATATAATTTATTGTATTAAGGATTTAAATAAAATAATTCATTGTCATATATCGATAATATAATTAATACATTTATAATTTTATAATCATTTTTAAAACATTCTATTTATGTTGTTTATCATTTTATTTACTTAGAATATAGATACAACATAGAACACAATTGTGAATACAATGGTAGTTAATAAATGATTTTAGTTTAATAACGTTAAAAATAATTAAATTATTTTCTCTTGATTAAAATCATAGTTTATATTACATATAAAAAATTTTATTCGAGACATTATTATTAAAAACTATTATTAAACCAACATTTAAAAATTCATAATCTAATTATGAAATAATAATTGGATCGATGAATTTGAAAAATAAAAAAAAATTGATTTCAATAATAAATATTAATACGATTGGAATTATTTTTTATAAATAAAATTCATAAAATTCATATTAAACAAAATAATAACACAATTTTATGAAATGTCATTAATTAAATTTTATTATTTCATTCATTAAAATTGTTTCATATTTAATTTCAATTTTGTAATAATAATATTTTTCAATTTTTATTATATTTTAAATAAAAAATTCTTTTTAAAGTTAAATTCTATTTATATTTTACTTAAAGCTTAACACAAATCCGATTCATCAGTGACTCTTTTCAATGGCAAGATTACATTTATTCGTCGATTCTTTTTAAAAACACGATGCATTTAAAATGTCAATTTATGGTTCTCAAGAGATAGTTTATACTTATTTTTTACTTGGAAAAAATTTTCGACAACTTTTAATGCACGATTGGCAAAAGTAAAGTTAAAAATAGGTTTCGGTAAAAGGCAATTAGATTAAAGTTATCGTATAATTAAGAGTTCATTATATGATTACCAGTATTATACGATATTATCGGTATTTTGATTTTTTTATTAACTTAAAGATATCTTAATTGAGAGTTAAGATACACAATATATTTATCAAGATACAACAAAGAAAATTCTAACAACATTTAAATAATATTACGGCAATGTTTTATTATTGAATAAAATATTGAATTAAATTTTTTTTTCGATAAAAGTCAATAGTAGATATGTAAATAAATTGTACGAATAAGTTTAAAAATATTTTGCAAATTTTTATTTCTGAGAATGGAAAGATAAGATTATAAAATTGTGTCAATGTCAAATAAAAATATAATTATATAAGGTGTGATGGTGAATACAAGCGATCAGAGAATAATGAAAATAAATTAAAAATAAAAAATAAGAAATTATAATTTATTTGAATAAATTTAAAATTTGACAAATACATATGTATTTAAATAATTTTGACAAAGAATAAAATAATTGGCCAAGACAATTTTATATTTCTTATTTTGCATTAAATATATAAACATGCGGAGCAAATTTTTTTATTGTAAACTTTAACATTTAAATTCTCAAAAATCATAATGAAAGGAGATGCAAATATAAAGAAGAAAGAAAAAAATATCGCAGTGTAATACACATACACACACAATCATTTTTTTATATCTTTCTAAAAAAAAAAACTGACTTTTATAAATATCGAAATCACTAATAGCAATAGGTACTCACATTTGTTGCAATAATAACATAGATAACACGCATAAATTACGATTTTCAAGAAAACAATTTTGGATTAAATTATATAAAATTTGAACTAAATTATTTGAAGTAATATGCGATATATATTTCCTTCTTAATTCGAGGATTTATTTAAAAGTAAAATTCTTGAGAATACGTATTTTTATTTTACAAGTGGATATTGCGTTCATTGTTTGATATTAACTTTATTGTTGGACAGTTATCCTTAACGCAATATCCATTTATAAAAAATTTTATTCTCAAATATTATATATATTTGTAAACTCTCATCGAGATCAAAGAAACGAATACTCTTGCAAAATCGATTCTTTCTCTTCTTCTCGTTACTTTCGAAGAAATCAATTCTTTCAGGAAGAAACTCAGAAAGATGCAATGAAAACTTCAGAAATTGCAATATCCGATGGCTCGACTATTTTGATGTTGTCAGTTACCAAAACGAATAAGGCTCGATAATGACCGCTGATGACGATCGTTTACATGCATCTTGTAATCGTCCTCGAGCAAAGTCAGAATTTAAATATGTTTTTTCAGGTTTGCACGGGAAGCGAACGACGAGTGCGCAATTTAGCGGCAAAAGGTCGATGTACGCAGGTATGGCCATTATTAAAATAAATTCATTAAGCCGAAACGAAGATCGCGCGAGTTCCCGCACGGGCGCGTTGTAAGAAATTCATCGTGTGTTGTGGTAGCGTGCAATTATATTGTCATTAGTGACGTCACGCGCGTAATACAACACACGCTTCCTCTTATTTTTTTCTCTTCCTTTTTCATTTTCTTTTTCCATTCCTCTCGGTGTTCCGCGGTCCGGTGTCGTTCGCACGGGATATCATTGCGAAGAATCCATTCAGGATGGTGATAAATATATAGCACCACCGTGTGATCTTGATTATTGAACGCGTGTAACGTACAAGATATCATATATATGGTCCATGAAGCGTCGAAACTCGTTAATTCGCCTCTTCTCTTCAGAATGCTATTTCGCGGTGTTAGAGATGATGAAGAGATGAAGAAACTTGGGACGTCAGTATTTAATTTATTTTAATTTCAATTCTTTATCTTACGAATTTTTTAATTAATTATTATTTAAAAAATTTTTTCAATAACAATTGAAATTCATACGAAACGAATTCAAAATGGGGGAATTAATTTTATAATAAATTTATAATGAATTTGTATAATATATTAGTAAATACATAAATTTTTAACAAGTTTGTGTTAATTTAATGTTTTGAATGAATCTTTTGAGAAATCCCATTATGGTTTTATGATGCAATATACAGCATTATAGATAACGAAAATTCGATTTTTCGCGTATAAATAGTTCGATAATTACAATTGTGATTCTGTTCATATATATCATTATCCGTCTTATCATTGTGAATCGATCGATTCTTTTAACAGAAAAGCTTTTCGTTAGTGAAAAAAGAAGAGGAAAAAAAGAGGAAAGAAAAATTCAATAAAAGTGTTTAATTTTCATAAATCGATTGAATCGCCGTCGTGCCGTAAATAATAAATTTGAAATTCAAATAGGATACGCATTAAGAGGGTAAGAGGGTAGCAGGAGGACGATGTTCGCGAACACCATGAATTCACTTTTCGTGCGTAAAAACGGATCTTAAAGGATTGCTAAGTGCGTCTAATTCGGCTCGTTTTCGGTCGAAGTGATCAAACTTTACGACCGCTTCCACGATTCCTTTGGCCATCGTTGGCCACCTCCTTTTCCTCATGCTCCTCTCTCTCTCTCTCTCTCTCTCTCTCTCTCTCTCTCTCTCTCTCTCTCTCTCTCCGTCCTTCTATGAGATTCGAACACAACGTTCCGATAATACCGCGCGCGACATCAAGGCCACGGCGCGAGTGCAAAAGAAAACCGACCGTGCAAACCCATGAAATTATGCAAATGTCTGCCGCTGCAAGGTGTTTGGATAATTGCACGCGCTGTCGGCTTCGTATAGCCCTTACTTAAAATCACATCAGCGCGATGCTCCCAGCTGACGATTTTTACGCCCGCGTCTCTTCTCATCAGTGTCACCGCCCCACAACACACACATCCTTTCCACTGTTTATTACGCTTTTTGCTCCGTGTTTTCCTTCTTTCTTACTTTTCTTTCTTTCTCTTCTTACTTTTCTTTTTTACTCTTCTTTTCTTTTTTCCTTTTGTGTAACATCCGTGTAATAATTTTATTTGTAATATAATACAAATACTAAAGATGATCGAAACGAGTTATAGTTAGGTTAGGTTAGATAAGATAGCGTTGGATCGAATAAAGATATATGTGCTGGTTTATGGTCACGTTGTTTTCAATTTAAGGTGTAATTGTCGGTAATTATTTTTGAAAGCCTGTTATGGTGGAGTTGATGGCGCGGAAATAATAATTGATGCGAATATTTTTTAAGAGGAAGATTATTGTCGATGAATGTAAAATAAATTATGAAACGTTTTGGAATCTGTTTAAATGATAAAGAACATAGATGAATATAATTTGATTATTACAGATTTGAATAACTGAATAAATTATGCAATTTTGAGACAGATATTATCAAATCATAATTGATATATAAATATTATTTAATTTTCGAGTATTTAATTTATATTTCATATTTTATATAATAAGTGATATTTATTTAAAAAAAAATACTAAATAAAAATTAAAATGATATATTTTCGAATTAAATATTAAATATCTTGATTTAAATTGTTTGTGTATTTGTCATTATTAATTAAATAATATTAATATTGAATAATCTTGGATTTATTATATATTTTATTATAAATTTAAACGCAATATTCATATTTTGCAAGATATTAAAAAAAATACTTAAAAAATAATAAATTACTATTACGAAGTAATAATTAATAATAAATCCGTTAATACTCTAACTTGATCGAAAATAAGATTTCTTGCTATTGCCATTAGAAGAAGTAGCAATTAATTACAATTTCAAGAAATTTTCCTCGAGATTTAATAGCTTAAAGACGTATATAAATTTTATATAAATATTATATTATATTTTATATTAATTTTAATATTATATTTTATAATTATATTAATTATATTATATTTTAAAATTATATTTTATATTATATTATATAAATATTATGTAATTTAATATTTTACAAATAAAAATAATAAATTACATAATTGTTGTATTGGAATTATATAAATTATTAATATAGATAGAAATATTAAGCGGTTAAATCATTTCAATCTTTCATAAACAGGAAAGATGCAATGATAGGTATAAATATTTTCAAATTTTTTTGTGTTCTTTATTCCTTATTTGAAATCGTTATATAGTTGTTAAAATACTCACTTTCGTTTTGCTTCCTCCGATGCTTCCTGGTCGAATACTTCCCGTTTCGTAAAATCTTGTAAGAATCTTCGAGACACATCCATGAGACACTAGGAGTTGTCGAGAAATATCGCAAGGTCTAACACCAACCAAAGCGAGCTGCACGATTCTTTGTCGAACGCAATCGGGCAATGGCCTCCCGTTAACAAACACACCACCCAATTGATTAACTCCCGCTTGACCTGTAACCGAAAATAATTAAATTCTTTTATTTAACATTAACATTCAAATTTCTTTGTTCATTCGTATATATTGTTTTCATATTATTGAGACATATTGATTAGACTTAAGATTTTATTCCTTCTTTCACTTTCAAAAAATAGAAAATAATAAATAATCTCTTATAAAAAATGATAAAATCTCGAATATCCGAGTATTCGATTATCCAAATTATTCGATTATTTGATAAAATTAAAAAAAATTATAAACATAAAAATAAATATCATACGTAAACCAGAATTATGATAAAAGTGATGTGACAGAAAGACTTGAAGATCATATAAATAATGAACAAAATTATTGAAAGAATTAAAAAGATTTGTAATGAAGGGAACAATGAAGAAGACGATATTTCTTCAGATATAATTCTAATATGTATAATTCTATATTATTGTGAAAATAAATTCACAGTATTAGAGATAGTCATCAGATGGTATGAAGCATAGAAAAAAAGTATTACCGTGGAATTATTAACTTTGAAAAAAATATGCAATTTAATAATTTAAAAAGAGTAGGAGATAAAGATGATCAAAGCATATATATATAATATGTACAATATGTATAATATGTAAATATAAATAAATAAATAGAAAATTATATATAAAAATTGTAATTTTTCATATGAAATCAATAATAAGATTATTTATACACTATCATCCGATTATTAGTTCAAATAATTGAATTTTTATTATGACTAATTATGATAATATAATATATAATTATCATAATATATTATGACTAATATATTATGACTAATATATTATGACTAATTAATTATCAAAAAGTTTGATTTTTAATTCAATGTTTTTTTTTTATAATTCAAAATTCTTAAGTTAATTTTTTTTAAGAGATTTTTTTCATTTCTTTTTTTACTAATTTTAATATTTCTTAAATATTAAAATAATATTTTATTCTATATAAATTTTTTTTACAAATCATTCGTTGAACAAATGATCAAATCAAAATGAAATTAAATCACTAGATGGAAAAAAAAATATGTATCAAGAAATGCCAGGTGTGTTTCTTTTTTCTTTTTCTTCAACAAATGGAATAGCAATAATCCTCTAATAGCGCGAACAAGATTTTGAGTGGAGCATTAGGCAGATGCATTTTTTCCTGGCCTCTAATAATATTGGCGAGTCGAACTTCCCTTGACGAACAGACAAGGATAAAAGAATGGAAAGAATGGAAAGAAGAACCGTCATTTCGACATTCCTGCATGCGTTTTCGATGGAAAAGAGGACGTATAATTATCTGTTGTTCCGTCACCGGATGTCGAGGCCAAGAAGCAGCAAAAGGAACAACGATGATGCTCATCGAAATTGTTTTCCGCTAATTTTCAAACTTCCCCGATTCTCTCGGATTACCGTTTTTATCAATTTTTCACGCATACAACGCGAAATAAAATTACTGAGGATACACTTGCTCTTCCATTAGCCTTGCCAATTTGTCGCTTCGTTGCTTTATAAACGGACACCTGTCATTTTGCATTGTTTTCTTGAATATTATGTACTTGTATGTAAAGATAATCATATATTAGATTTTTGATATCATTGATATGTAAAAACTCATTTAAAAACTGAATTAATTATTATTCCATACTATTTATTTGTTTTTTAATTGTTGCAAAGTATGCTTTTTTTCGAGTTAAGATATAAATAATTTTATTAATGACATTTTATCAATTATAAATTATTATCATTAATTTATCGTAATGTATACATATATAATATGCTTTCAATCATATAATTATATCAAGAAATTACAAATGTCAAAATATTAATGTTAATAATATATTATTTTTTTTTTATATATTATTTATTAAATTTTGTAAATAATTTTTATAAACTCTGTTGTTACAAGTTGTATAGTTTTTGTTTCCAATCGTTATTCTGTGTTGATAGAAAACCTTAGTTGATTAATCATATTGTAATCTAGATTACCATGTTTTGTGTGAAATTAGCAGGTGTTCTAGTATTTATAAACAAGGATGAATATATATTATAAAAGTTTCATTTAAAAGAATTTCATTTAAAAGAATTTTATTTTTTTTAGCGTTTTATTATTTTATAGATAATATTTCAAAATTTAAGAATAGAATGCAATAGAATATTAAATTTTAAAAATTACAAACAAAAATTACAACAAAAATCATTTTTATATAATTTTCTTTTCTACAAATTGTATAAATAATACAAATATAATATATGTGTAATAATATTTTAGGAAACTTATATTTTAAAAGAAATATTTTTTATTTTTAAAGAAACTTAATACTTTATATTCTTTAGATAATTTAAAGTTTGATAAAAATAGAAAAAAATAAGAAATCTGTATAATAAATATAAATAATCAGAATTATTATATAAATCGATATATACAATATCATATCAATATATAAAATATCATATCCAATATATCTATAATTTATTATAAATTTACATTATATTATTGCAAATTATTAAAGTTTTCTGACATTATCTATTTTATTACATTTATTTTCTTTCTTTTCATAATATGGTTAGAATTAAAATTATTAGATACTATTTGTAAATGCCAGATAATTCTATAAACATACAGTCAATCGCAAAATTATTCGTATATTACAGAGAAATTCATTTTAATCAAAATTTTAATTTTATTGAAAATTTGTAAGTATATAGAATATAACGAGTTATATATAATAATTATATAAAACAATTTTTTTTATTAATGAAAAGTATTTTTGAGAAAATAAAATTAATTTTTAAAAAGCTTGCTAAAAAATATATATAGATATATTTCATTATATTTTATATATTTTATATATACTACAAAATTTCATTAAAAATACAACAAATTTTTTATTTAAAAAATTTTCTTTTATTTTTTATAAAACTCTATAGAATAAAATAGAATATATATAGAATATGACAATATCTTTTAGCGGAACATCACTTTAGAAAAATAAAAAGTTATTTTTTAAAAGTTATTTTTTTTTTTAATGTAACTTTATAATGATACGAAGAACAAAATTTTAAATTATAAAATATATATTAATTTTAAATTATAAAATATATAAATTTTAAATTATAAAATATATAAATTTTAAATTATAAAATATAAATTATAAAATATTTAGATTATATTTTATAATTTCATAGATTTAAATGTATTATTATGAAAAATATCTCTACATAAAATTTCAAAATTAAAAAAATGCTGAATTCTTGGAAATTGATTTTATTTCCTCAAAGAAATTTTTTATTAATAAAAAAAAAATTGCTCCAATGTATAATTCATTATACCTTACGTATTGAAATATTTTTTCTGATATTGACAATATTGCAGTTATTTTATCTATTAAGTTATTTTCTACTATTATTAAATCAAATTTTATAAATTTCTAGCTGTCTTTTTAAATAAAACAAAATATTTTATGATTTTTTCAAAATATAACAAATTAATATCAAATTAAAAGATTATTAAAATGCTAACAATATATTATGTATATATTATAATATCATCTCGGTGATATTATTCAAAATATTTTTTTAATTTAACATTAATTCATTATTTTTTTCAAGAGATCGTAAGATATCTTGTTTTGGTAACGATGACTGTGATGATGATTTGTGAAAGTCATTCTCTATGTTGTTTACGAATTATCACATATAATACACATATAATGATATACGATTTGAATTAATAATAAAGATTTAAATTATTAATTATATGATTCAGTAGAAAAGATATAACATAGAAAAAATGATGTAATGTTGTCGAAAAATAAAAAACTCTATAAATTTTTTATCCATAGTAATACAAATTTTTGATAAAATCAAAATAGTTAAGATGAATTTCTTTATAAGATATAAATTTTGTGAGTGACTATCTAATAGTTAATCTATTTCATTGGAATGAATATATTAATTTCCCCTATGAGTGTCCAAAATTAAATTCATACTCATTTGATTAATTTTCAGAACGCATCTGTTTTGGAATATATTATAAAATAAGATATTACATAAAACAACGTTATTTAAAACGGGAAGTTTACTAATAATAGCAGTTACTAATAATAATCATTCGCAACAAACGAATGAACTTTGATGACTTTTAATGTCGGTAGGAATAGCTAGACTAACGAATTCCGACGAATCTTTCGTAATTCCTTAATCTCCGTTGATTTTCGATTTTTTTTTTTATTATTTAGTTTCTTTTTTTTTCATATAAGCCATTTTGTTGTGTTTTGTTAGTTACGAATAGAAGAATCAAGGCAATTCAAGCATCAACAAAATTATCGTTTGCAATTGAAGATCAAAAGAGGTATATTCGAATTGAGAGAGAAGAAATTATTATAATTCATTTCACAACTGAAAATTTTCAAAGATCTTTTTCGAAATTTCACAATAATTTAAAGTTTATGATTTTCGACATCGGAATGATTATTTCGTGTAAAATTTTGCTATTTATCGTTTTATCTTTATTTTAAAAATAAAGATAAGCTTTACATAGGATAATTTGAATTAAATGTATATTTTAAAATATATAAATATTCACTTAAGTTCGAGATTGATTGTAATAAAAACAGAAATAAGATAAAATAAACAATTAATAATGAAAGAATTATTATATAAATGAGTTCTTTTTATTTAATCCAATTATTTTATTTAATCCAATTACATTATACATTTATTCGATAGATAAATCGATATAGATAACATTTTTTTTAAGAGATAAAATGTATTCTATATCTTCAAATGTACATAAATGATTGAAATGTCTTCTCAAATATAATCTTATGTTATAATATGTTATAATATAAAAAAAAAAAGTAAAAAATGTCGAATAATAACCGATTTAATACAAAGCTACGATGAATTATAATTATACAATATTTATATTATTTTTAATGTTGTTTTAATATAATTTATTTTTAATACAAAACGATAACAAAATTCTTACAAAAACAATTATATTC